GACAAAATTGAAACAAGAGATGGAGTGAAGAAGATGTGTGTTGATCTGTGAGAAGGTAAGTGTCTGAAGGAAAAATGAACTGATTTGTAAAAGGCATAGGTTGTCAGGAACAGAGGGCTGTGGGGCTGAAATGTCATGCCAGACAGTTCCCCAAGCCTTCTCTCTAGCCCGGGCTCCACTGGCCTGAATAAGCTTGTGGCTATCCAACTGGAGAAAGGTGACACCAACTCCAGGGAGTGGGTAAGAGGGAGTCCAAGTGCAAAACCCCTTAATAAGTGTCAGATCATCACAAATTAGATATCCACCACTCACTCAGCAAGTAACTGTGTAACATGACTGTAATACATCAAAAAGTACCCTAAGCAAGGGCCAGATGGCTGATAGGGAAGGGCCCTGGAGGAACCAAAAGTATTTTTTTTTTTTTGTCCATCTAAGGATATTCCATAAATAGAGACAAAGATGATGGCATCAGACAAAGAAAAATAAAAATGACATCGTGCAGAAAAAAGAGTCAATAGTTTTTTCTCTTCTCTCTCCTCTGCAACTTAAGGAACTGTGAGTAGCAAATTTCAAAGCAGCCCATAACAAAACTGAGGACATGCCATGGATGATCCATTTTGCTATAGAACTTAAAAAGACTTGGCGTGGGTTTCACAACAAAGATTCTGAAGAAGGTAACCCAAGACAATCCCTCTCCTGCGGATGTGTGGATGATGAGGACGTAATGGAGCACCTCCAGGATATTTCCTTTACAAAGACTTTTGTCCTCTCTTGATAGTACCATTGGTTTTTAAAATATCTTATTTCCAAGTGTTAATTCTATTTCAATTCTGGTAACTCAATGGTTAAAAGTTCCTTTCCTACACTCTAAATCTTGCTAGAGTAGAGAATTAAACAAACATGTGGAAATTTGAAATGCATGTAAATGCTTAATTCTCTGTTGTGGGCCTTAACCATTAAAGAAAAATTTAAATGAAGCAAAACAAAAACAAATGAATGATAATCATGACTTAATTTCCTTTAAGAAATAAGTGGATTGAGAAAAGAAAGTGGAAAATAATTCCATATTTGCAAAGCAAAGCAGTATACAATTCTGCAAAGATGTTTGTTTTTTGCTGAAACCAAAGGCTACCTATAGAAATAACACAGATGTTGTTGCAAATACTACATGGTCTATGCTGGCTTTCAAAAAAATAACACAGATCATATTAATAGTGGTGAAGAAAACCACAGGTGCATATTCCATTTAGCATCTGTAGAGCCTGATCAGGAAAAGAGTTCCGATTATTTATGAAAAGCATAATGGTATTGTCACATAAAGGCTAGTTGAACTGTATGCAGGAAGTACTATTTCTTCCTCAGTATTAATGCTTCCCCTTTTCCTTTTAGCATCAGAAGCCTCCAAGTGTTAGCTGGTCACAGGCCATCCAGGTGAAGACTAAATATCCCAGCTTCCTTTGCACCAGGTGTGGCTATGTGACAAAATTTGAACTAATGGGATATGAACGGAAGAGCTCTGTGCAATGTCCAGGTCCCCTCTTTATACTGACGATACTTTCTCAGGGCTTCCTGGCTTCCTCTTTTCTCCTTCATGCTGCCTGAGAAATGGTGACATTAGAGCAAGCATTGAGTAATGTTGGCAAAGCCACCCTGACAACCCTGGGCCACTCACCTCTGGGATGGTGTGTGAGAGAGAAATGACTTCTTTCTCTTTAAGTCATTGTTCATTTATTTGTTTGCAATTGTGTGTCTGTTTTCGTTTTTTGTTACAGAAGCTTTGCCTGTACTCTAACTATAACGATTAGATTGTTTGTCTGATCTGATCCGAATTTGGGAAGGCTGAGAGCTCTGACGTCGGGGCAAGAATGAGAGGGAAGGAATCAGACCAGGATGACCACATGCTGTGATGACACTCTTCACTGAACAAGTGTGAGTCGTGTCAGGGGCAGAACACCGGCCTAGCAGCCTTCCCCTCCCCTGTCTGCCAGTGATCCCCGCTGTATCCCTCAAGTCTCAACTAGAAAGCAAGGCTCTTTGAAGGCTTCACAGATTCACTGGTTTTTTTATTCTCCTAATTTACTTTGAATTTTCTAATAGCATTTGTAACACTAATATTCTATTTAAATCATATCCAACTCTCCTTCTAGACTCTATGAGAAGACGAAGATTAATCCATTCATCTTTATATCCTCACTGTCCAGTGCAGCATCTGGCTTAACGTGACTTCTCAATAAATGTTTGTTGCATCGATGTTCTTGGATTCATGACATCGAATGCAGATATTTTACTAATGTTGATGACTTGTTTAAGTTTTCTTAGCAATATTCAGGTTGTTTAAAAATTTTTTAGTGATTCCTCTGTGAATAGACTCAGTGGTGGTGCTTAACTAGCTATGACTGTAGCTAGTGGTGCTTTATGCCCTTCCTCTGTGGTTGCTGGTAAATAGTCTTACGTCCTCGCCTCCTTGTCCTCCCCGCCTCCCACCACACACACACAATTTCCCAACAGCTCTCCTCTCCTGAGCGTCATGTATGAAAGGTTTTATATATGGATTTTCTCTGATTTTTATAACAGTTCTACACAGTAGGTGTTGTATTTCCATTTTACACATGAGGAAACTGTAGGCCCATGATTGCATCTCTCTCCGCTTTTACAAACAGATCTGCCAATTCTTATTGTTCAACAAATAGCAGGACATACAAGACAGAGAAGAAGCTGATAAATGAACCTTCCGATTTACTATTCTCCCATTGTCGTGCCATGGTGGGAACCCCTCATCGTGCCATGCTTTGCATCTGTGTGCTCAGAATCTGTTGGCTCGACTTCCTTCCAGGTTGGCCTTATCCTTCTGATGTGGAATCCCTTTCTAACGCTTTTTCTGGATCCCTATTGCACATGGAACCCTCCTCGCAACTGGGGGGACCCTACCTAGAGAATATTCCTTTAGAATTGGCATCTCTGGCTTCATAAAACCAATTCAGATGTCTCCTGGCTAATTGCACTCTCTATAACTGGGTGCTGATGGATGTGGCCATCTTTCATATTTGACCTCTTTGAGGGATAGGAAAACAAAATCAAAGGACAGATGAGATGGGGGTTACAGAGGGGCTCAGGCAATTGAGGTCACATAATTTTAGCAAATATACAGTGGTTTCCAATAAATACTTATTAAGAATTTGTTATTTCTTTCAAACTATAAAATTTCTAGGAATGAAAAGGTCATTTACCAATGAGAAGGGGTGTCTCTCCTTTGTCATTTTTGGTGTTGGGCCACACTCCCTTTTCCAGTAAAGTTCTTACATTTTCCACCAGACCAGCTTTGACTGCCAAAGTCAAGGGTGTTTCTCCATCACAGGTCTTGAATTCCCAGAGTGTCTTATAGGATGCTAAGACACGAAAGCATCATGTTGAAAAGTTGAAAATGTTTACTTACAGGAAATCACATAAATCAGAATAACCCAATATTCTATATGTCAGATTGAACAAAGCCAATCGATGAAAAAGGAAAGACTTTGATTAAAAGTTTACCAAATGGTGGTGAGGATAAGTAGATGCATATGGACTTGCTAATCAAATTGACAGCCAGAAAACCAACATCTATGTTTTAAACTGCTTTTCTTTTTGAAATGGGTTCCTAATTCTCATTTCTTGATACATTGTGAAACAACTCTCAATTCTTTGTGTGATTATTTAAATTGTATCCGAAATTGCCACATGAAGTCTGTGAATGTGGGAATGAGAATGTGTTTGAACGAAGGTATCATTGTGTCAAAATGATTCTTAACATCATCTGTCTGTCCAGCTGTCTAGTTTTCCCGCTGGCTGGCTGAATAGCTAATTATCAAGTATGTATCATTATCTCCCGAACATAGGGCTAGTGTGCAACAAGATAGGATACTCTCAAAGTGTTCCGTAAGATGCTGAGATGTGAAAAACACTGTTAGAACATAAAAGTTATTATTAATGTTTAACGCTGGGTTGATTTATCACAATATTTGTTACTGCTTACATTATGAAAAAATTAATATAAGGAGAAATATTATAAGTACATCTTGCTGCACTATATAATATTCTTTTGGAAACTGTTAACTCTAGAGATAGTTTAAGATGAAAATTTAAAAACTGACTTCCAAAAGAAAAAAGCATAGTGCATGGGTGGTTCAGTGGTAGAATTCTCACCAACCAAAAGAAAAAAGCCTTTATATTTGAATCAGTTAATTTATGACATATACAAACTCTTTATAACTTTTGGGATAACCATACCTTCTCACTAACCTCTGTCGCATTCCTAGGTAAAAGCATAAGCCCCGAGTGTCACAAAATGTGCTAACTTTTGTACTTTGAGTTTAAAACATGCATACTGCCTTTTTCAAATTTCAACTAATCATTAATTCTGCTTTTTTCTCTTTGCTTATTATGTTCATTGAAAACACGTATAACTTCTACATTCTTTCTTTGGTTTGATCATAGGGGTTTACTGTTCTCTTACCATCCAGAACAATCTCAAGTATTTGTTGAACGGGTTGAACAACAGCTTCGTGTAACGGAAACCATCCTTTATCATCAGCTTCATCCAATGCAAATTTACATTTCACACACTCCTGGAGCTCAAGAATGTGACCTAAATTAAACACACAGATTAAAAACAAATGTCTGTCTTTGCAAGGAGGAATCTCCAATCCATCCCCCTGTAGACAATATACTCATTTACCTTGTTTTATGGCCTCCACAAGTTTTCTGTTTTGATCACTTAGGGGTACAAATCTACCAGAGAAACAAAAATAAGTCATATTTACAGTAGTGGTATACTACAAGGAACCCAAAATTTTAATTTATACTCATTTTATCTACTTTTAAAATATAAATGTCTAGAAGTGAGGTACAGAGTATATTTATGATACCTTGGAACTAAGAACATTTTCTGTGTATGTTTTATTAAGTAAAAGCAAGGAATTCCATAACAAATTTATTTAACTCTACTAAGCAGAAATATCTGCTAGTAGTCTAGAGTTGTGAATGCCTTCCAGGAAACTTTAATGTTCTAAAATCCATTGGAGATAAGGGAAAAATTTCAAAGACCAGGAATTTAAATGTAATATGTTCATTTTTTAAAAGCTCAAAAGCCATAATTTTTCTAACACTGAATCTATTCAAAAGTACTACTAAATTTCATAATAGAAGATTCTAAATATTATAATAGAATGTAAACTAAACTTTATTTTTATCAGAAGTATAATGTGTGTTGTTCAAGACAGAAATTTAGTTTTGCAGTTTTAGATTCAATAACTCCTACTTACATGATCCAACAATTTTATGTGCATTTTAATTTGTTAATTCCTATCATTTGGATAGTAGATAATTACATAGGTGGTGGTGGTTTATATATTACTTTGTCATATATAACAAAAGCCCACAGCTCTCCTCGCATTCATTGAGCTAATGAGGTAAGTGGGTTAGCATTATTCTTCATATTTTAAAGATGCAAAAATGCAATATGTTACTTATAAAAGGTAAGCTGAGTCAGTAGCAGAACAAGCTCTAGATTATACAGACCTCTGTTACCTATCTATACATTGGTTGCATAAACTGTACTTGCAAATTTATTCAAACCACTTATTGTCATTTTGACTCCATATTAATTTAGAAAATAAGCAATCCTATACACTAAAATTCAGCTAGGAATTTCCTAGCTAGGGTTATTTCTGTTTTCCACATGAGGTGAGATTTATGGAAGATCAGATTGCTAAAACCTATGCACAGCGGTCCTTGTCAAACCATTAGATTCCCTGCCAGAAAAGAAAGGTAAACATTTTCCTAGGGAAGGAGTTAGGAAACAGCATTCATTTTATCTTATAATGAAATGCATGCCATAAAGAAATTTGGGGGAGTAGATAGTCAATTCGAATACTACCTTTCAGGATAAAATACAGTCTTGCTGGCTTCAATGGATTCTTGGATACTGAGCTGAATATCATAACTCGTAAGATGGTCTTCATCAGGGTCATCAGTAGCGTCCATGTCAATATACAATTTTGAAAGAGGCAATTTTTTATTATCAGCAAATGACACTGAACAGAACAGAGTTAACATGAAAAATGCAAAATTAAAAACTAAAATACATTTTCCTTTCCCTATTTAACAAATATGAATGCAGTTAACATTTTAATCCGCATTATATATGAGGTCCCTTTTGTTAACTTAAAATGGATTAACTGCTGAAACATTTAATTACCTACACTTTAGGTGTCTGTACTTTCTAACTTTTTTTTCTTCTGAGACAGGGTCTTGCACTCTTGCCCAGGCTGGAGTGCAGTGGCGTGATCTTAGCTCACTGCAGTCTCGAAATTCCTGAGCTCATGTGATTCTCCTGCTTTAGCCTCCCAAGTAGCTGGGACTGCAGGCACATACCACCTGCCTTACTAATTTTTTTATTTTTTTTGTAGAGATGAGATCTCACTGTTTCCCAGGTTGGTCTTGAACTCCTGGCTCCAAGTGATCCTCCCATCTCGGCCTTCCAACACTTTCTAACTTTTGGCTTTCTTTTCAGTAATGGCTGCAGTTGGGATCCTGAGTTCACTTTTTTCAGAGCTTCTGATTTACACTAATTTTGGTCAATCAGTTTTCTGTGACACTATTGTATGTAGTACATTAAAAACTTAAAACTCAACTCAAAGAGGAGAAGTGAGATGGTGGCAGTAATGTAGAACAGGGATCTTTTTATATTCTTTACAAACCAGTAATGGTCACTTGTAAGGTATGACTTGTCTTGGAGCATCCTTTGAAGATAAAGGCCATCTGAACTCCATCCAGAGACCAGAGACCAACCCTCCTGTAGATTCCCCATTCATTCCCTTTCCCAGTTCTATCACGAGCCACTGTTCTTGACTGGCCCTTCTCTTCTGAATATAATACTAAAAAATGTAGATTATTCCTTACTGACTTATTTCTTCCAAATATCCAGTTAGAAGAGTGAATATCTCCCTTTACTATTGGATCAATTGCTTTGTCTTCTATAGAGAGAAAATTTAGCAAAGTGCAGAAATCAAATAGTTCTACAGCTGAGTTGACTGACCAATATGAAATTATTTTTGATTAGTGGTATTTCCAAGCCAAAATATAGTCTCTATATGAAATTTTACATTGTAAGATGTCTTCTCAAGGGGAGAAAAACAAAACAGCGTTCTGTAGGCAATTTACAAAACACAGCTTTATCTCTTCTCATTCTCCAAGGTTAGATAATCTCAAACTCTGAAGACAGTTCTATGCATGCTAATAGCCAAGGTCCCTGACCTGTGGATAGACTGCACATGAACTCAATGGCATCATTATAATTTTATTGTTCATTGTTCCATAGCAGTGGCCTTACTATCACCTCAGAACAGAAGGGATAGAATAGTGACAATGTTCAGAGACCACACACGAGATAGTAAAATGCTCCACTAAAGCATGCGCCCTCACACTGTGATATCTCAGTCTCCTTAAAAGGCTGATGTGAGCCCTAGGGATCTTATTTACCAAATAGATCCAAATGGTATTTTACTTTTAATTTATTATTTATTGGTTCATTGTCTATCTCCTCCCCTTAGAATGTAACTAAATAGGAGCAGGGAATTAGTCTGTAACGTCAGTGCCTAGAAAAGCATCATCTCATGGTTCATGGGCTCCAAATATGTGTTGAATGAGTACATGAGTGAGTTAATAAATGACCACCGAAACATAGTCCAGGCTCTGCTTTGTTCTTAGCACTGACCATCTCCCTCAGTATGGAGTATTTTTTCCAACTGAACAAATGTGATTGCTTCATTTTTTCTCTTCTGTGCTTTTCCATCTTATTCCTCTTCATTCACGGAGCCTTCCCAGCTGTTCCACACCCACAGCCCATACTGCCTCACACCCAGCTCAAGACGTTCCTCCAGTGGAAGGCCTTCCTACAGTCTCCAGTTCCTCTCCAGTCTTCTTGATTGTATTTCCTCCTATGTAATATTTTTCTAACATCTGGATTTATACTCACTCATTCTATATTTGCTTTACAAGTTCTTCACATATTTTTGTTTTCTCGCTTGGACAATTAGTTTTCTGAGAAAAAAAATCACTTTCTTTTTCCTTTATATCTTTCCCCTGTATTTCCACTCCTAGCCAATTATAGCAAATGGCTGCTCTCAGTGGTCACTGGAAAAAAGTTGTTGACTCATTTCTAGTGGCCAAGGACTGAGTCCTTCAGCCAGCATAACTAGATGACAAAGTCAAACCTGTGGCATTGCCTGTTGCCTTTCTTGCTGACATTTCCATGGCGATGGGAGATTGCATGGTTCTGGGATTAGTAATGGGATACAGAGCCTTTCACCTATTTAAATCACTGGCTTCAATCTAATCTTGTTTGAAATTTGGGCTCCCAGTACATGACACACCATAGGCTCCTTGGAGAACTGAGTTGGTCTATAAAAAGTTTTTTATTTTTTAAAATGTCCTTTTAACTACTGTCAAAAAGAAAGTTATCTAAGTTCTTAACTGTTTTGTACCTGACAGTATGGTAGAAATGGTGGGAAAACTCTTACTATGTGGACAAACTCCAACCTGACACAGGCTGTCTCCAGTCTTTTACCAAAAGCGTGGGATGAAGTGAAGATCTGTGTGTAGGTGAACCAAGGTGTCAGCCAGACAATCAAAGGAGCATTCTAGGAATGGACTTAGAGACATCAAGATGCAATGAGAAAGGCAAGAGGAAAGTTATTCATCTATACTTCAAATTTAAAATGACTGGGACTCAATCCCAACTGAGGGTCAGCAATAGTGCATTAGAAATTATTGAAATAAAGTATCACTCAAAAGTATGAGAAAAGGCCAGATAATATTTTGACATTCTTTAAGACCTGTTTACAGGTGTGCCACTTCTCAGTCTAGAGAAATTAATTGACTCTTTCTTAATAATTTGCCATTTAACACTCAATCTTATTCTGGAAAAGCCCACCAGTGAGATCATTTATTCTCCATAAGTAGCTGATTTATAAAATAACTAGAGCAAATATATGGTACAATTGACCTTTAAATGAAGATTTAAAGCTCTGGTTAGCCTTGCTTAGGGTCAGGAACACATCTGATGAAGGCTATGGATTCTCTCTCCAGAAGAAGCCATGCCCACTCAAAATTTTGCATATAATTTTAGGGGACTCATTGAGCCTCAGAAGTTCTTTCACGTTCCCCTGATAGAGAACCACTAAATTAAGGATTTCTAAATGCTAAATGCCAAATATATTCCTCGGATATGAATAATTATTAATTTAGTTTACAGGGAGGCTAAATTAAATCCTAAATTTAGATAGTTGGAAAAGAGGAAGTTTAGTGGTAATGTAAATTTTAGAATATATTTGGCAATAATGAAAATGGTGATGATAATAATAATCATAAATTATCTAGTGCTTGCTTTGTTTTAAGCACCATGCAAAATATTTTGTATGCACTACCTTGTTTTAAATCCTCACTCCAATTCTATGTTGTAGGTATTATAGAGTCATTGTGCATTAAGAGGAAACTGAGGCTTTAAGAGGTTAAAAGACCCACCCAATGTTACAGAGCTAGTAAGCAGAGTCTGGACAGAGTAGGGAGTACCTTCACTTTTAAGGTCTTTTCGAAGTTATTGGAAAACATCCCACAGTCAGTTGCCTTTAAAAGAAAACACTTTGATCTTGCTCTTAACAGCCAGCTCATGATGACAATAACTTCTAAAAATAAAAAATAGCTTCCAGGGACACATAAATCTTTTTCTTTGTCTCCATTCAGTAAGGCTTTACGTTGCTTAGGGTGGTCTGAGGTGAAAGCTTGCCTTCAATACCGTACTTTTTGTCTTGGAATCTAAACACCACTGTCCAAAAAGCAGGATCAACATACCAGTTGGTGCCTGACCGAAGTGGTCAGGAGGTTAGTACGATGTTGCAAGGTATGAAGCAGGAGTGAACACGAGTACATGACACCTCCTTGCATCAGATTGTCTAAAATACCTTCAATCTCGGATCCATGTTAATGCCTTACTGTTAAGGTAGTTGATATGTTTGAGACAACCCTCAGCTCCCACAGCATGGAACCAAGGTTCTCCTTTTCCCTGAACAAGGATGAATATAACTTTGTTCCCCATGAACTGTTTTATTGGCTTAATCCCAATTACATCCAAGTCTGTTTGCCCCACCTCCCCTCACACTCTGTCTTGGGCATATAACAAAATTGAAACCATCACCATGGGGTCCTAAACGGAGCTGGCCTTAAGAGTATGCTGAGTGGACAGTTGCTTCCATGGTGCAAGGACGGGCTCTGTGTCCCCAAATATCACACTGCCCCTAGCACCTGTCACATCAGTGTCATTCTGTTACATCAGTAAGAGATTCTGTCCTTTAGGGCGTATTGTTCCATGTTCCAGTGTCCCTTTTACAATACCAAAAGCATCATCCCGACCCTCAGTATAGAACCAGGATCTCTTGGAGTAGTTACTGGGGATGGCCTGAAGCTGGGAACATGACAGAAGGTCTAAGGCTGAGATCTGGTTGGAGGTGATAAGAAAAAAGCAACACAGTAATTTTTTTTTACAGTTTTATAGAAGGTCAGCCCAAATAGAAACCCTGGTGTTCTGAAGGAGGTGCAAGTTTTTGCTGCATGGAATGGGGGACACTGGTTTCCTGAGGAATTTTTCTTTTACCTTGAAACTGCTATGGTTCTTGAACTGAGCTCATCTACTGGAGGTCCCAGAGAAGAATCATCAGTCATCAATATTTATCCTATCAGAAGAAGAGAAAGAGTTAAAGCACATTTTCATTTTTTGGCATTGTTAAGAAAATACAGTTGTTATTTTAAAAACAATGCTAATTCTCATTTTTCTGTACTTTGATTACTTACGTATATAATTTTAAAGATATAGTGAAATCAATATACTTAAAATTTTGTTATAACTTTGGTTTTTATTTGGTGGCTAAACAGTTATTTTTTTTAGAATCCTGTAGCACGAAGTGGCAATGAGATAAATGGTTTCACTA